TTTTGATTCTTGGCAATAGTTTGCATAGGAAATCTTATCGAATCATTCTGAATAGAGGTAATAGCCCAGGCTTTAGGATCATACGAGTCCATGTTGTTTGCTTGGGAATCGGGACTCGGAACAGGAAGTCGCTGGCGCGGGTGGAATCCGGTGGCGGGAGGGTGGAGGAACTTCCTCTGTGTTCGCATTGCATTTCATCTGATTCAATGTACTCAGAAGAAAGCAATATGCATTATTACTTTACAAGACTCGAGATCGTTTTTTCTTTGATTATAGTCACAGTCCAAGCTTTAATATCGTACGAGATCTGTTATCTTTTTCGATGATAGGACTCGGAACACAAGAACTCTTCCCCTTCCCCAGCCCTTGTACCATTATAGTCAGACACTGGGCCTCGAACATGTGCTCGGGCCATCCTCGAATGGGATTTCCTGAGAAAGCTGTCTGGGTTTCATCTATGAGAAATCTGAGAAGAGGATGAAACGAAAACATTGGTCTCTTGACAAGATTCAAGAATACATTCATTGCACCGTTTTATTGTCGTTGTTAGATCGTCGAGTAGCTACAAAGAGGGACGGCCCGCGAGCGAGTTTAGTACATCCGCAACTACCTGTTTTATGCATTTGCTTGGCATTTGACGGGCTGGCGTTTCAGAGTCACTATGTTTCAGACTGACTTACTTCATGTCAAGGTGTTCAATAGTCCGGAAGTGCAGTCCAAATAAGAGCTGCTAGTACTGGAAATACTGTTAATAATTGTGAATGAATTTTCGACTTTCAAGAATCGAAAAATTCAAACGGACCAAATTATACGTAGGTATTCAATATACGTTGTTGTTTTTTCATGGCATCAAGAACATTTCACTCCCTAAATGCAGTCAAGAAGGCTGAGAAGCCTTCATTTCCTTTTCATCACTAGATATAGAGGTGTCATCCTTTCTTTCTTATCTTGAACTATCTACATCGTTTGATTGACTGCCGGGTGATGAATAAATTTTGCAACCTTCTCACTTGCAATTCCTCAAACAGCCCTGAAAGTTGAGGATGTTATCAAGCAGAAAATAGTTTGATCCTTTGATTTGAGCCCTCCTTCTATATACGTGGAAGTGACAGAATATATCTCTCCCTTCAACCGACTATTTTCCCTGCCTAACGAATGGGTCTGTTCAATGACAGTCACGCGCAAAGAGCCAGGTGGTCACATCTAGGAGCTGCTTTGCGGCCGGTTATAATATAGTGACCCTTGATTCAACTGGGCTGTATACTTAACCCAAGTCGAAATACCCGGGACTTGGAGGTCCACTTGCAAATTAAATATTGAAGTTGGTGGCTTCATACAGTCTAGTCAACGTGAACTAACATGCGTAAGAATCTACTATAGGAAGAGAACGATGGGGTAGGTCAACCTCATCACGGGAGTTCTTTACAAATCCACTCGCGGTTGAATTTAAGAACTTCCCCAACCGGGGAAATACGTAAGAAAGATGTTCGGCAAATACCAAGTAAGGGACTTCATAAGTTTTGAGAATGGTGACTGTAAACGGTAACTTCAAGAATGTGGTACAAATCTTCTGTGGCTGCTAATACTAGGAAGCTCAAATCCTCAATACAAATCTCGAAAGCAGTCTAAAACATGTAGGTCTCGTTATGAAGTCACTTGGACTCCAGGGAGCACAGTTTTGGGGGGTCACCAGGGCTCATTACGAGGGTTTGGGAATTGTGAGTACTGAAGACTTCAGCTAGACAGGAGAGCAACTGTGCTGCTTGGCTCTTTTCCCACTGAAAATTTTCAAATGATGTATATGTTATTGATTATGAAAAAAACCAAACATGATTAATGTATTGAAATTAGATTGCATGTCAAGATGTTGTTCTTGTATTAATGACTGGAAGATAATAACCGAGCGGGAGTCATGGCGTGCAGAAAGAAAAATCTTTGGTTTGATATATTCGATAATTTGGTTTCAATTTCGCACGGTTAATCGTATAGATAATAAACACCAAAGTGTCATATCAATCTGTCTTCTTGTTGTTTCTTAGAATATCTTGTTACTTTATCTACGTTACTGATTACCTTTATACAGAAGTTTATATCCTCGAATTTGCGAGATTTAAACGCACCAATCTTTCCTCTCAGATGTTGCACCTGTTGTGATCATTTCACCCTATCGGCTCCTTATCGTAAGGCCCCTAAAATAAACGTCACTCCCGTACCAAGGATTTCTCCATCCTAAGCATCCACCTGCTGTACAACCAACCAACCTTCAAACACCGAATTTGAAAATCATTTCCTCCCTTCAAGTTTCTGCTCGACATACCAGAATAATATAAGATTCTCTAATTGTTATTTAATCCGCATCTTCAAATATGGCATCTACATCCTCGGGTTCCTCCGCATTTAATCCTTCACCTGCTGCATCGACGGCCCCCTCAACTGCTTCCGAATCGTTACCTACATCCTCCGCGGTAGCGGAGAAACCACCAGATGATGGCTCAAAACTTAAGATGTTCTTGGGCATTCTGCGAAAGTAAGTTGTTGTAATTCTGCGCATCTTTGCTAGAAGATGTTCATAAAAACCACACCGCCATCAAGGCAACAAAGTGTGGCTTCAGCCTCTCAAGCAACCTGTGGACACTTCGCAGATACCTATACATTTCGGATGGCCATGACTGACATTCCTCTCTCTTTTCTCATAGGTTTATTGGAGTGGCAGATATTGCTTCCGTTCGATTTAGTTTGCCAGCCCAGCTATTAGAACCAACGCCCAATCTCGAGTATTGGAATTACCTCGATCAACCGAATACATTTGTGGCAATAGGAGACTCGGATGATCCATTAGATAGAATGCTGGAAGTCATGCGATTTTGGTTTACGAAGGATTTGAAATATGTGAAAGGAAAACCTTGCAAGCCATACAATTCTACTCTTGGGGAATTTTTTAGGGTAAGCAGCTGCAGCTAAATTGAAAGGTCGAAGTGGGGAATACTGATCTCTCAAACAGTGTAATTGGGAAGTCGAAGATTCACAACCGGCTATAGAGACGGGAAAATTAAGCACGACTAGTGCTTCATCTTCGAAGAAAGCTACTCCTATGTCATCGACTAATGCGTCGAATGTCACAATTCCTAAGCCGAAATCGGGCAAAAAAGTTCGAGTATCGTACTTGACGGAACAAACTTCGCATCATCCACCCGTCTCCGCATTTTATGTCGATTGTCCGGAAAAGGGTATTTCGGCCCGGGGTTTCGATCAAATATCGGCAAAGTTCACTGGAACGAGTATCAAGGTTACACCAGGGGAGCACAATTTGGGTATCTTCATTAATATTGAGAGGAGAGATAACGAACAATACCAGCTCACACATCCAGCCGCCCATCTTGGAGGGCTTTTACGTGGAACTCTAAGTGTTACCGTAGGAGACCAGTGCTACATCAGTTGCGCTCAGACGAAGATCAAGACAATCTTACATTATGTTGAAGAGGGATGGTTAGGAAAAACGCAGAACAAAGTGGAGGGAGTAGTCTTCCGCTACGATCCAGAAAATGATAATAAGACGAGGATAAAAGATGTCCCTGATAAAGATGTATTGGCAAGAGTATCTGGAAATTGGAAGGACAAGCTATACTTCAGCTTGGGGCCGAAGGGCGTAGGTACTCCATTTCATAAAACCAGACGACAGATACTGACTGAACGTTATTAGGACAATCAAATTCTCCTAATAGATCTCGCGCCTCTTCAAGTAGCACCAAAGATTATCCCCCCAACAGAAAAACAGCTACCAAACGAATCTCTCAAGTTCTGGTCAGGCGTCACAGAAGCCATTCATGGTCGGCAATTTGCCCGGGCAACAGCCCTCAAACAAGAATTAGAAGAAAGGCAAAGAGAGAAGGCTAAACAACGACAAGAACAAGGCGTTGATTGGCAACCGAGATTCTTCACAGGTTCGGTTACACCTTTAGGTAAACCGGATTTGACGGCCGATGGAAAAGAGGTTCTACACATGTTACAGCAAGGAGAATGGGATTTGAAGGAGAATGAAGTTACAGGTGCTTAGAATGCATGCTCCGGATGGGATAGCTTTTTTCTTTCTTTCTGGTAACTGGATTGGTCTTGGATGATACGAAAGGAAATGAGATGGCTCTTTGTTGATACTCTTGATACTTGACACGTATACACATACATTATTACATCACGTACATGAATGGAAGAAGAAGGGAATGGAGATGGCGATGTGGGATTCGTTGCTTTAGTTCGTTACTTTGTCGGATACGGGGTTCGGGGAGCTTATGTTTTGAGCACATGGCATAGACGTTTCCTTCTGGTTGGTTGTGGAAATTGTGTGGTTGGGGGGTAGAGAGCAGAGGGAAGAAGCGGAGGGCGGGGGTGGGGTGAGAGAGGAGAGCGGAGGATAGAAGTGAGCACGGTGTAGAGAGTAGAGAGCGGAGAGTAAAGGAAGAATTTGAATATACAGTTGGGGTATACAATACACACATACGCATACTATACCAGAATCATATTTTGTTACTAAGAAATTAGGAGTGTTTTTTTTGTTTTTGTTTAGTGATTGTGATGCCTCTTTTCTCTCTTCTCTTTTCCTCTTTCATTTGGGAAGGAGATTTAAGTTGCTATTAAGTTGCTATTGCGATTGCTGTGGAAGTAGGTAATATCATTCGACGGGAATTTTAGGACTGGGTAAGAGTCGGAACAGAATCGATCGTGAGACTCATCAATAATATAGATGATATCACTCGGTTATCTGGAGAGCCGGGGTTTGGATACATGGATGTGTTTGTTGGTTAGGTGGTGAGTTTTGGACGGGGATTGGGGTGTAGTGGGAAGATTCATATGATGATCTAGGCGAGTCTTGGTATTGAAATAGGTTGAAGGTGGTGAGATACCACTACCCGAGGAGTATACAAAGTCAAATCGCTCATCTATATTTAAGCACGACAACAAGAACTTTTCCCTCTCATCTCAAGCATCATCACAAGCAAACCCATTCAGTCCAATCTCCCAAGTTTTTCCAAAATCCCCTCATTCAAATCCGTAATAACTTCGTGCAATCTCCCATTGCTCAATAATACCACCACTACTCTCCCCGGCTCCGTATGCTTCGCTAATACTTCAATTCGATGCGCTACACATATAACTGTATGTCCCTTTTGGGTAAACTCATCATCGATAATACCATGGATGATTGATTCGGTAACGGAGTCCAGAGAAGAAGTAACTTCATCTAATAACACGACGGGTTTGCGACCAACATGTTGAGCTGTCTGGGCTTTGACAAGAGCGCGACAGAGAGCGAGAAGTTGGCCTTGGCCGACAGATAGCTCTGGGAATAATGAGAGGGGCTTGTCGAGAATTGGGTGGTCGTTGTAGGGTGTAATGCCTGATGCTGTTTCCGGGATATCGTCTGTTCCGGCTGCTCCTTGGAGGAAGGACCAAAGTTCTGTTCTTTTTAGCGAGGCGATCAAAGTTTCGTTGGACAATGAGGCATCTGGATCTAGATTGAATCGTAAGGTTTCGTTTGAGAGAAGTAATGGATCTTGCGAGACGGTGATGAAGCAGCGTTGTCGAAGAATATCAAGTCCAACTTTCTTGATGTCAACGTCGTCGAGCATGATCTGACCGGATTGTAACTCAAGAAGACGCAGGAGCGTCAGGAGAAGAGTGCTTTTGCCACTAATCTGAACGTTAGTTTGTGGTGCATTTGGTGAAGAGGGATCACGAACCTGCCTGTGCGTCCACAGATGATAATTTTCTGGCCCGAGGTGATACTCAGACTTAGGTTTTTGAGAGCTGCCGCGTCGGATCTGTATATTGCTCTTGTCAGCTAGCGGATTCAAGACCTCACTGGGGCTACATACAGGTAAGATGCAGTGATATTCTTAAACTCGACATTTCCTTTCGACGGCCAGGATTCTACAGGCTCCAAGGTCTGAGCCATTCCAGCCTCACGGGGTGTCATATTTTCAAGTGTTCTCAAGCGAGCAATAGCCCCAAGAGAGATTTCTAACGTCGTCCAGCTCTCTACGAGTTTCAGCAAGGTTGTGTTTGCCACGAGCATGATATTGAGCGCGATTCCAACTTGCGCACCACTAACACGATCGCGATATGCTACAGCTAAAGCAATAACACTGGTCGCGACGGTAGCTGCTAGAAGATCCAAGACGATGTTGAGCCATCTCTGGAGACACAGAAGGAGAAATTCGGGACGTTGAGCGTTATCCACATTTGTGATATTATCCTCTATTACTGCATTTGACCAGCCAAATGAGCGTATTGTTTCGAGACCCTCGACCTGTATTTGTCAGTCTGAGGAAGATTCGTTATTCGAGGGCCATACATACAGATTCTAATAAACTTGAGAAAACTCCTGCCCTAGCCTCTAGCTCTAGGAAACGAAGCTGTCTAGAGGTGCGGAGATAGACTTTTTGGACGATGTAGACAACAAGCACGCAAGCTGGTAGGGATACTGTGAGCCATTTCTGGGCAACGAAAAGTAATATGACTTGCATCAGGAGCTTGAAAATTTCTGCATGTGTTAGAATACTGCAGGTGATTTGAGAGAAGAGGAATCGATGATAATCTTACGAGTTATAATGGTCTGAAGGGCTGGTGGCAATTGCTTGTCCACTAGCTGGATATCTTGACTGAACCTATTCAAGATGGAACCATTGCCGGTCTGGGAGAAAAATGACAAAGATGCGCTGATAACTATCAGTCTCTCCTATATCATCCTATCATCTTCTGTAGGGAAGAAGCACTGACCTCGTTACGATATGCAAAAGCCGTTCGTGTATTCGGGATCCAGATTGCGATGCCAATTGTATAAGAACGACCCTAGAATGTATTCAACAACCATAAGCTCACAGAAGTTTGCGAGGCACTTACCACATCTGAATGCTTGTCGTGATCCACGACATGAATGATAGAAACAAAAATCCAAGGACCCAAAATAGGGTATTTCCGCCACTTGGCTCGGTCCAAAACTGCAAGTAGTATTGAGGGATGGTAATGAAGAAGGCATATGATGCTGTGCAGGCGATAAGGAGAAAAAAGTTCTTTGAGCCGACAAAGTTTAGATAGTATCCTACGCTTATATTAATCTTATTCTAACGCCGTTGAAGAGAGAGGAGGCTTACCATACAGAGCTGAATCTCCGCTCTGTCTTGCAAGGTCAATTTCAGCTTCGTCTTTTGCTCGAACCTGGGCGTTAAGTTTTGCAAAAGCTGCCGCCACTGCGGCATTATCTTTGACGTGGTTTCCAGAAGAGAACTTTGCTATGGAGCCAGCTTTGATTTTGATACTTTGCCAGTTACCTTGATCTATTATTCCATGGTCCCCCAAAACAACTACATGATCTGCTGATTGAAAGTACTGAGCTATTCTACAGTTAGATACTGCTTTGACCTAAGGGCAAGGGGAACTCACTAGAATTAGAAACCAGGATGACAGTAATCTTCAACCGTTTCACTAGGCCATTGGATCCGAATAAATTATCAAATATGGTTTGCTCAGTATCACCATCTAATCCGCTAAAAGTGTCATCTAGTAATAATATGTCCGACCTTGAGAATAATGCGCGCGCTAGTGTCTACCGTTGTTAGCTTAGTGCATATCTACCTAGTCGTTCGAGGGAACATACCACACGCTGTCTTTGACCTCCAGACAAATTAAGTCCTCTGCTACCAATCTGTGTCTGATCCCCATCTGGCAGGGTATCAAAATCATGAGTGAGACAGCACATTTCTGTAACAGTATTGTACCATTCCTCATGGTCTTGATTAATAGCACCATCAATGTCATTAGCACCGTAGATAACCTCTTTGATACTACCACTTGGTAGCCAGGGTCGTTGAGCACAGTATGCTATCTTTCTTGTTGATAAAGCAATTGATCCCCGGGCAGGTATTACTTCTCCAATTATAGTGCGCAATAAAGTTGATTTACCGCTACCGGTGGGACCCGAGATTATAACGAAAGATGTTGCGCGCACTTCAATGTTGATATTGTCAAGAACATTCTGTTTGTCACCTATCTTCAACTGTTGAATTTGAAGTGCGAGATTGGGCTTTGTGGAATGGCTGAATGCCACTTCACTTTGAGTAAGTTTCGGCAGTACCCCGCGATTGTTTTGTAAAGATGGACGGAGCAAGAACGATTGAATTCTTTCAAACCCAGCAAAAGCCGCCACTGCACGCGGTACAATTGTCATGACCATGTTTGCTGGGTGGGTAATCATACTCAAGATTGCCATGGTTGGGAATGCAGTCGTGGGATCGAGCTTAACTCCATTGGCCTGTGATATGATAGCGAATAGAGCCAGTGTAATCGCTGGGGAAAATATTCCCAGTGCATTGGCTACATTCTCGTTAGTATAATGTAAGTATCAGGATTAAAACACCGCTGTTGACTAACCAGATGCGTTGTAGTATACCATGACCCATCGAAGCTTCGAGGCCACCCATAGCTCTTCTTTTCGAAGTTGCTGCACTCGGTGGGTAAGATTATGTTGGAGCCCAATCATCTTAACAACCTTCATGGAACTTATCAATGAACTGGTAGCTCCTATACGACTTTGAGTTGCCGCATTCCAGGCTTTTTGACGAGGTTGTAAATGCTTCGCAACAAATCGACTCATGTGTGAACATACTACTAATTTTAGCATCATATCAAGAGATTGGGTTGATGTACTGACAATAGATAAGGAAAAGTGGAAGAGGCCAGATCCAGCCAACTTGGGTAGCGAGAAGTCCTACGCCTATAAAAACTTCAATAACTTGAGCCCACGTCTCGTGAACCATCTCAGCGATTCCGTCCAGACTATCTGCATCTGCACTCATAAGTGTGGTCGCCTCGCCATTGTCATAAGCAATGCTGGGAGACACCATAGTCTTTGCATGAATTAACCCCACAAGAGTCCCTCTGGTAATGAGCTTCAGTCTATTTATGCGGTGCTGGTACACAGCTGTTGATAACTGAGCCAATTAGCGTATGGCAGGAGAACAGAGACTGGCACTTACAGCAAGGCCAACGTAAATAGCCACGGCTGATACAACAAGCCAAAAACCACGGCTACTTTCTTCCTCGATAGAATATGCCACGACATATTGGATCGATTCTTTTATTAGGAGAGGTTGAGAATACCGAAAGGCAATCAAGAACAGTCGCGGCATGATAGCAGCCAAAAATGGGTGTTTCAAGCATTTCATCAACGCCAAAGGTAGGCTATACTTCGTTTCAGGCTTGGCTAGTTCTGTGAGAAGGAACAAAATAATTACTTTGAGTTTCTTGACTAACCTCGACGGGACCAGGTTTGAAGCATTGTCTTCCTTGTAAACTCTGGCTTCATATCTTGACTGAGAGGTGGCAAATCTTGGTCAATGAGGATATTTGTATATCCTTGAAGCAAGATGGGGTTTATCCAAGTGTATAGCACCCTACTCAGCACGCCATGTGATTCTTCTGGGGATTGAAGATTGCTAGAGTTGCTAAGTGAAGGGCATTTATCACAACTCTCGAGTACTAAGAGAGCTGAGTGTATGACACACCGAGCAAGTACTGGATGTGAGGCTCTAGACAATGCCCGAATTTTCGGAGGCATTGTAAGAAGAAGAACATCGCATATGATTGATGGCACAAGATAAAGAACAGCTAAATCTGACGGCTTCAGAGATCGTTTGTTCTCAAGCACCAAAAGCAGACTCAACCCAAATGCAGCACCTGATGAAGCTAACAGAGAGATGACGAGAACTACTTCATGCTTCACATTTACTGTGACAACATAGGCCAGCAGAAGAAAAGATAGCAGTATTGCAAGGGTCTGTAGTCATTGTCAGTATTATTCATAAAATACGGAAAGGAGATCAGTACTGACTGCTTTTGAGCAGCCTTGCCATCGCAAAACATTTTTCGCGCGAGAAGTACGAAGCTGCCAAAATCTGGCAGGCAAGCATACGATGAATCCTATGGCACATATTGTAGATATAACATTAACCACGTCTGTAGACTTTACGACATTGTCTTGCGAGATGTGCCTCATGACAGTAGGTTCGAATTGTAAGGCATTCTGGTGCTGAAAGAAATTCATGATGGGCAAATGTCCCTTGTGCTCAATAGACTTGTGACCTCCTGATGATGAGGAAGACAAAGATACCAAGGTTAGAGTGCGCCAGAGGAGCTTCACGGCTGGAGAAGGAATATATGATTCCAGATAGCAAGTTGTCTTGTTGATGTATAAATATCAATCTGCTTATCTGGTTATACCACATAAGGCAAGGCCTTCTCGAAATCCACCTCAATGCCGCAGAGTGCTCTCCCCTCTTACCAGATAAGCTATAAGCCCTCAATAAATGCTATGAGAGTAATCGTGCAGCCTGGCCCCACTTATTTCGTGCACATCCCATGACAGCTTACGGCTCGGTAACCAGATGCGAGTCGGAGAATATGTGTTTCGGGTGTGAGTGTAAACATGCGGAAATTTGAATCGTACGGAGCATGGACGACCTGAATCTTGAGATCATTCTATTGAAGACGTTCTCTTCTATCTCTTTTTCGGTCTCCCTACATTACAATTTAAGGTTGAATTGTATGGGTAAAATGATCTGGTTGATCCAACACAGACCAAAGGCTGCGAGACCAAAATTAGAGCATATACATGCGCATAGTCCTGGTTGTCACATTTCAACTCTCATCGTCGCCTATTCGAAGTCGAAATGAAGTTCGATTTCGATATGTATTTTTAAGTAATAAATGAGTAATACAAGATATATCATGTAATAATGGAATAAGTGCATAAACAATACCTAGGTAGGTAGTGAGTGACATTAGGTCACGCCTACTATATAGTAAGATCTAGCGAGTGCGCTAGGCTCGTAGTCGGTTGTATAGGTAGGTAGGTAGGTAGGTAAGGATTGCTTCTTCCTGTAATTAATTTTGCTCCTTAAACAGGATACAACATTGACAATTAGAACCTACATAGCAGGCTCTACATCATCTGTAGTCTGGCCAGACAAACAGTTAATAACTGAATATAAATATAGCTCGAAGACAAAAATTCATAGGGGTACTAAGATACGGCACAAAGCTTAAAGCAAGTGATAATGAATCTCAGTGGTTCATCGGAACCAATCATATGCCCTGGTACCCCTTGAGTATATCCATTGTTACTCAAATCATATTAAATACCATTTGATTCGTTCGCTCAGCCCTTCCTTGAGTTTCTATTCTCTTATTCAGTTCTATCAGCCTTATACCAACCTAGACTCACTCTAGTCAGGTTTGTAGATATTTTCTTGTCATTACTTTAGTTTAACTGGATTAAGTTTATCGACCTTTTAACAGTCGGTGATCTCTTTTCAGATAAACTTCGTTCCTTGGGGGCTTATAGGTGATATGCAACCCCGCAAGAGCTCACAAAAGTTCTAACTATCTCTCAGAAGTAGAGTAAAAGTGGCGATGGGTTTGTTGTTGTTGTTGTTATTTGCCGAAGGAGAAAATTGCCAAGGTAGCTAGACCGGTGCTCCCTATCGTTCTGGTGTCGATGATTAAACTAGATACAGCGGCTGAAGGATTGAAGGTCATGGCAATTGGTCCCTATGTAATCTCTTGATGCCGACGGAACCATTTGTAATAGTCGACTATCGTTAGCGGCCGGCTAGTTGTTAGTCTGGGGAAGAAACAAGCACTTGTGCTGGGGAAAGAATCCACTTATCACGACAAAGCACTTGTCTCTTCGGTATCGAAACATGAATTATTCAATCAGTCTTGAACTGAATTAATGATTTTTATATGTTCAAATCTATTAATACATCAGCTTATAATATGGTGGTTATGTATCGAGAACTGTATTCAGACTCAGACTTTGACAGCTCAATCTGAGCGCGCCTGAACATGTCAGCAACAGTTTCTGGAGTGATTTCTCGTGATGGGTCGGCAAATAGTTCGTAACCACCGATGAGTTTTTAGATGGAGGAGCGCAACAAGAGAGGGCACAAGTGCATATGAAAGTAACTGGTTTCTAGTTCTTCTTCTGTGGCATCTAAAAGCGCTTGGTGGCGACCCGAAACTGCGGATGATATGCATTAGCTTCATGCCCTTCAGCGAAAAAATACCTGTGAAGACACACCATATGGAAATAACCATCCGAAAGGCTTATATTTACTTTGGGCAAGTGCAATACAGCTACTGATGGAGCTTTTCGATCTATGTAAGGTCTACTAGAGCTCTTACACGAGCTTCGGTATCACAAGAACTGGAAATGATCAGACTGCCCACCGAGGCGTAACGATCATGAACGCATCATTTTGCCATACTATGCCTCCTCCCCCTCCCCAATTCTTGCTTTAAATAATCGGCCAAAGAATGCCTTACACCGTAACGATTTGAGATGGCAGTGCCTTGGGGTTAAAGAGGTCAAAGTTGAGCTGCTTGACGATTTTGCCGGTATTGACTGGGTACAATAAAGTTCTGAGGGCAAGAAAGTAGCTCTGTAGGTTCAGTGACCAGAATTCCTCTTCGTCTCATATTCCTACGCGTGGATGAAAAGGGGGAGGTAAAATGCGGTCGATAAACGAGCCCGTCGTATTGGCTCGTCAGTGCATAACTTGCGGGCCTTTATCCTTAGGAAATGCATGATTATCAAAACCCACTTGATTTTAAGCGGAAGTTATCTTCGATATTGCCATGTGTATGATTACTTGCGCACATCATCCATAAAATTTAGTCTCAGCCCGTCACATTACACTGACAGAGTTCTGAAATGGAGAAAGCGCAGAAAATTAACAATTACATCGTTAGTTGATGAAGAGAAGAGGCCACAGGGGGATTTTGGCCGTGTGAATGCCAAGACCGCCGAGGGAGGAATACCTCAAGGTCTCAGTATAATGGTAATTATGCTACAGATCTGACACACAATGTGATGTCTTTCAATCCTCAAGAAACCAGCGCAGGGAAGCTAGGGAAGAGCTGAATCTTACGATCATTGAGTATTCCCATCGACGTCCAGCGCTCCGGGAATAGTTGCCTCAGAACGGTGACACGAATTAACGCATACTTAGCAAGTTACTCAATGTAGTTGCACTGCCATGACGAAGGTCCTACTATCGTAGATGATCTTGTTACTTTTCAGGCCAATTTACGTCATCTTAATGCTCGCTTATGAATGTGTACTACTTTCATATTTATTACCTCCCATAGTAAGATATGTCCGGTCAGCATGCGGGAGATCGTCTAGATCTGCCACGAACTCTGATAAGCATACATTGAATCGTACTATCTGCTCAGCTGCAATCTCATAGTTGATTGGTTAAAGCAGCCAATAAGCAATTACTGGAACTGCAGCAAACATGAGAGATTACAATGGACTGAACTCATGCACTTAGACCAAATTCTATAATAACGTCATTTTGTCTCTGGGATTACGAGAGAGTCATTTTATTCACAAGTCAGAAGGCTATCGACGGGCTTTTTGACTTCCAAAGAAGCTTGCCGTAATCCTAGCAACGCAAGAAGCTGCATCATCACTGCTTTTCACCTCTCCAAGACACACCCAGGACATAATGCTAAACTTCCAGAGCCTGTTGGCCGTAAAAGAATCTTATCGATTTTTTGGTTGGTCACCAAGACGAAAGTTCAACAGACGAGTTCCTGGACATTCTCTCAAACGAATCTCCACGCATCGAAGAAAAGCTTGACCATCTATTCAAAGCAACTCATCCGCGCACCATTCTCGATCTCGAGCTCCTTGAGCTTAAGAGCGAAAGATTGTCCGCATGGCGCGACACTGTTGTGGACGCACCAACCCCTTTGAAATACAAGTACGATCGCAACCTCATTTTTTCTGGCGCGGAATTCAGCAGCATAGAGGAATATACCGCAGCTCTGGCCGCTATCATGATGTACGACAAATGCGGCTTACTGCAAATGGGCCTCTACCAAGATGGCCGCGAAGAGATACGAAAACCAGCACGCAAGATTGTGGGCGAGAGAAAAATCAAGCCCCTGATTGTACTACTCATGCCTTGGGTTCCTCAGCTTTTTTTCTAGTTCATTCACGGAGAATGAGTTGATTGACCCGAAGACGTTGAGGATAATGTGTGATGCGGTGGCCGCAGTTGCAAATAACTTGGAGACGCCTGAGATTGAAGCCGAATGTGTGGGCCCTCAAGAGATTTACAAATCTCTCACGCGCCTGATGATGGATCTAGGAGAGGCCATGGTAAGATGTGAGGGTGTGGAAACTTATCTCGCCACCAGTTTGTTCTTATTTTTGACAGCGGAAGAGGTTTATTCCCATCTTAAAGAGTCGGATCAAATCGCTCTCCGATCTATCGTAGTGGCGTTCCTCAGGAACTATGTTACTTCACTCTTGCTGGTTGAGTCAATCGATTCTCAAACACACAGCCCTAAATTGGCAAAGTTGGCAAAGGTGACTGCATAGATCTTCTAGTTGTTTCCGTTGTTGTATCTTGGTTTTTTGGGCATCTCTTGTTTTGAATGAATGCTGTTGTCTGAACATCGTGGTAGTTGCAAAGGAAATTTGATCTATGTACGTTAGTGTCATACATACGAACATAGCTACACTTTCTCCGCACGGGAAAGATGTTAAAACAGGCCGGCTATTTGCAGCTGAAATGGGGTTCAATTGGTAGTCAGTTATCGGATTATATTTCAATATAAAAATGACCTTCAAGATTTTGTTGGCGACTTGCGATTTTCTTCGTTTGTGCTCCCTTTCCAACCCCCAAACCACAGAAAGTCCCGTACATTGTGAAAATCATGAAATCGCTAATAAATGCAATCGCAAAATAGTTCTTGATTCGTATTGTTTACACCACATTTTATTATAATATAGTTTCGTAAAGAGAATGTAGTACTGGGTAGGTTGTAATTGATTCGTAAGGAGGGAAAAGCGCCCTGGCGCCGTACTTTCCCCACCCCATTCCCCACTAAATTATTTTCTCACGAGCTTTTCACGTGCGTGCAACACATTGTTTTTCAGTCGTCGTCCTTGAATCTTGAGTGTCGAATTAACAACCTTTTCTAAGTGAACATAAGATTTCGTACTTGCGAAGATGGATCCCAAAATGCCCAAAGCCGTGAAACCTAAGCGTCGCAAGAAGAGTCAGTCAAGAACTGAAGGTATGTATATCACCATGTTTGATCAAAACTATATACTAATATCAAAATAGTGACAAACATATCCGACAGTGAAAGTGACACTGCTCCTAAATCTCAATCGCTTAAGCCAAAAGCTCAATCAGCAGCTGTCAAATCAATCTCTCAAACTAAACCAACATCGGTCAAAGTCCCATCTGTAATCTGTCTCCCTTCCCAATGTTTTCAGAATTTTATTAACATATCTCCAGAAACCAACTTTAGTGAAAGACTCGGCTCTCGCTGAAAAGTTCACATCGCATTATCTTCAACGTATCACTACTGAATTCTCTGAAGATCTGGATAAGATCCGTGAAGCGGATGATTTCAATGAGAATGCGTTGCAAATATTGGTGCATGCGTTGAAGCAAGGTACGGAAGTCTGGGGCGAGGAAGAGATGAGGAGAATTGTTGGATAGGTTGCGAGTGTGTATGGAGATTGAGAGGAGGTCGAAAAATGGAAATTTCTGTGACGATGATCAAGTTAGCAAAAGACCAGCGTGGATACGTTGTTGAAAGGCGACTCCCATTCTGATGATGAGAGCAAGGGAAATAGGGTAGCAAAGGTCGTGAGGCATGAAAAATGTGCGCTTCAAAGCGCTTGAATCGACCGCAAGAATGGGGAGAACTGGATGATGGTCCCAAGAGATACAGATGAGGCGAGTGGATATGTACAGACCATTGATGGCGTTACGGTTTCGAAAGGGAGTCAAAAGTACCATAATCATATTTATTTTCAGATGCCCGATTTTATACATGTATGTTTAGGTATTTGCGGATCATAAATCACATTTCCGCAAGCAGTTACATATCTGATATTAGACATAGTGATTATCAAGGATTTTAAAATGTGAACCTCCAATATTTCCTTCAGTTGGACAAGCGCAAAATCGAAAAATCACCATCTCCCAAACTCCGGGAATTAAATCCCAGAACCGGTCTTATTCCCAGTCGATGTAATTTTTAAAAAATTTGGCTCCGAATCTGTTGGTGTAAGTTAGAAAAACGAGTGTAAAATTCAGATGTGCAACAAAAGATAAATTTGAGCAAACACCACGTGATGCATGCCTAGCTGGGAAGGCGGTGTTTTGTCATTTTTTCTGCCGAAGTCCTTATTTGGGATGCCTTTCGGCTTGTTATACTAATTATGAGCCTACTATGTAGTCTTAAGATCACGAGTATATAGTGGTCACTGTCGTGCACGAAGTGCCTAAATCAAAACACAGAGAAACAGAAATGTGGGAAATGCCAGTTCTCGAGCTTCCTTTAGTTATCCTGTCAATCATGGGAAGGTTCTGCTGTAAAGACTATCAAGGCATCTCTGTTGCCAAAATTAGGAAGAACATCACAAAAATAGAACAGTCCCTGAATTCTAACGATACTTGGATGTCTTTTGGCGCCTTGCATCCTTCTGGAGAAGGGCAAGAGGATACTGCCTAGGTGAGTAGGAGGTAGCTGGGGCTTTTTTGAATATGTGTAGTAATGCTTGCGCGCATGAAGATGATTATTTGAATACAGATCGACCTCGGATTAAGATAAAGATAACGAGTGCCAAAGCTGGGGCATAGAGGAACGATGGCTAGGCCTGGGTCATGGTAATGCAGCGGGGTAGAAGTCAATTGTGGTGATAGATTTCTGCTGGTTTTCGTCATTTCTTCAATTGGAGATAATAAAGGTTTCATTTTTTCAATTATTCCAAGGCTCTAAGGCGATCTTTTTAGCATGTTCACGGGAATCACTGTCGTATTGCAAAGCCAACAATTGAAAAATCAAGCATTTTTGTCATAGATTCTGCGTAGCATTGAGTAATATCTGAACTACACCATAGCATGCGAAGATCTACTCCTTCATATTCGACTGTCCATTGATGATAATTTATTTGTTGGCATCATCGAAGATGTAGGTCAAGTGGCAACGTCCACAGTATTGGCGGTCGTGCATGGCAGCCATGAAAACACCGGCACCACACTGAATATATGTTAGTAGCGTCCAAAAAATACCAATTATTGAAGAATAACTTACGTCTGGAGTTGGGCACTCTCTGCGGAGACGCTCGATCTTTCCGTCACCATCAACCTTGTAGTACTTCAATACAGCGAGCTTGGTCTTCTTGCGCTTGTGCTTGATCTTCTTTGGGGTAGTGTAGACCTTCTTCTTGCGCTTCTTGCCACCACCACGGAGACGTAACACCAAGTGAAGAGTGGACTCCTTTTGGATGTTGTAGTCGGAGAGGGTGCGGCCATCTTCGAGTTGCTTTCCGGCGAAGATCAATCGCTGTTGGTCGGGTGGAATTCCCTCCTTGTCTTGGATCTTGGCCTTGACATTGTCGATGGTGTCCGAAGACTCAACCTCGAGGGTGATGGTTTTGCCCGTGAGGGTCTTGACGAAGATCTGCATGACTATCTTTAAAGAGGAGTTAGAATTCAATCATATTGAAAACATGCGATTTCGCATTCAGATGGTAATAACATACCTGGACAACGGTTTAGATTGTCTTCCTCAAAGGTCTTGTAGAGTTCGAAAAGAAAAGTTCAAGATAATTGATAGGGAATTTCGAAAGTCTGGTTGTGCGCTAAAATGCGTTAGCGCCAAGCTAGGTCTCGCTTACCAGATCACACAACTGAATATTGAAAGATGTTGACTTACGAGATTTCAATCCTACGAACGACAATCGCCAACCAACAACCAAAGATTTGAATAACCCGCCAATTCAGTAAGTTCGCAGATATCTTCAAAGTTGATCTCTAGACAAATTTAACAAATTATTTTAGAATCCGCAAAAATGGTCAAGAAGCGCGCGTCCAAGTACGATTTCCCACCCCATCCATAATTCACGACGAGCTCTTCGAGAAATGATAAAATTGTCATGATTATATCAATGTCGACGAATAGAAATATTTAGGAAATCAGGAGGCTGATTGATTTTATAGCGGACGTAACAAGAAGGGTCGTGGTCACGTCAAGCCCATCAGATGCTCCAACTGCTCCCGATGCACACCAAAGGACAAGGCGATCAAGAGATTTACCATCCGTAACATGGTTGAGTCCGCTGCCATCCGTACGTTCCGATTATTCTAGAAAATTCCCCTACATCAACTTCGCGGAAGATATGAAAGATCCAGAGATTTGGCAGATAGGAGATTTTGGACATTTTTGCAACAGATGCTAACACGATTTTGTTACAGGTGATATCTCAGAGGCATCTGTCTTCTCTGAGTACACAGTTCCCAAGATGTACCTCAAATTGCAATACTGCGTCTCTTGTGCCATCCACGGCAAGATTGTCCGGTATGTTAATGCTATGAGATGAATCCTTGGTTGAACTGCCAGTAAGTTTGACCCTACAAGAACACTTGGGCTGATTCCCTTTTCTACAGTGTCCGATCCCGTGTTGGAAGACGTAACCGTGCCCCACCTCCCCGTGTCAGATACAACAAGGACGGAAAGAAGGTCAACCCAAACCAAGCTGCCGCTAAGGCTTAGAGTGCTTTAGGTTGGGAACGGAGGAGTTATCGACTGGGTTTTTCGGGATGCATTTTGTCTTATCCAATTTCTAATGCAAAAAGCATTGCTTAGACAAATATGACCTCATTGACTGATGATAAACCTTCAATCAATCTTCTCAATCTTTCAAACATGTGATATTTTACTGGAAACTGCTTTGGTCGGATCTTCATTGTGCATTTAAATTTTCCATTGTAGCAGAGAATATGCGCAGGCCCTCTCAAGTACTCCGTTATGTGCCCAACTTCTACAGGAGAAATTTCCGTGCTCAGATCTTGAACAGCACCTGTTCTGTCCTTCGTCTAATGGCCTGCTCAGAGGATGGTCGATTGGATGATCAGTTGCCTTCTAGTATACATCAACCATGATCGTGGTGCTAGTTGATCATTGCAAGTGCTAGCGTTTCGTGCATACATGTGTCAAGATCACTCTATAATCAGTTGTGAGTACATCTTTTCAGTCACTTTTAGAAATACATCGCTTTCCTTCCAATGTCACCAACATCGTTCACATCTTCGCGAGCGATCTTTCCCAACACATTCGTGTATAGCTTTGAAGCATTAACAGATTTGTGCATACCAACCTTTGCAATGTGGTTTGTGAATTCTTGACATCTCCCTGTTCTCTACACAACCCTACATACAGCATACAGCTATGGCATCGCGTCGGGAATCCAATGTTCATCAGCCGACACATCCAACTCGACGACACAAAAAATGCACTGAGAGGAGCTCGGATGGTTTGCACCTACAAGAGATAGGGCGATGGTACTCCAATTCAACGATCAGGAAATGGGACGTAGTGTACTAGAATTTTTATAAGAAATTATGGCGTTTTCGATACAGTAGAGTTGACAAGCTGAAACGGAATGGGGGAGTAACGATGGAGGAGCAAGAGGTAATCTGAGAGGTATGGCTGAGGAGGGGAATGGGGATACTTGCTTTACTCTATACATGACTCAAGGGAATTTTTGAGAATTTAGGGTTTCAGCGAGTTGAGTTGAACTTTAACGACGTATGTTTTTGTAGTTATAAATGTGATTGAAGTGTTTGACATGTTGAGAACTTATTAATATTCAAAGCTTGCTATGCTAAACCTTGATAGTTCGTAAAACATCAAGAGATCTCTCAACATTCAAAAGATACCTATTTTGCTATTTCTAAATATTGGATATCTGGTCGAAGATTTATGATTATACCATCCACATTATCCACCTCTTACTTTAATCGTTTGCCTCAACTCTTCGCAGGATAATCTGTCTTGCGGTAGGATTGTCCAATAGGTCCATATGCAACTTTTTCAGAACCCCTTCGCATGCTTGCCTACCAGCATAAATTTTCTCCGCTGCCTCAGACAAAGACATCGCCCCTTCATCCGATGCCTCTACAGGCAAATTTAGCAAAGCAATGCCCTGCGTAAGTCGTGGCATCATGAATGCCGTACCCTCTAACGGTAGATAGTTGCCAATGATGCTTTGAATACCTTTTAGATCCTGGGAAAAGCGAGCTGCGCCCAACGTTGTAAAATCCTGCCTGAGGAGGACTTCGTTGAAAAGCAAGTCTTCAAGGGCTGAGATTGCTTGACGCCAAATTCGCATGAATGCAGGATAAGAAATGGTTTTCTCGAGATAAGCCATCTTCTCTTTCATTATCTGAAGAGGTTGGTCAAGCTCGGCCGATATTGTTAAAGAGGACGTGTAATGTGGTACTAAACATGGTCAGTGAAAACCTCGTAGAAATGCAAGCAAATTGAAAATTTCAAATATTGTGAAAATGCTAAATATCATGAATATACCAAACGCTGAATCGAAATAGTCCAGATCCTTCATGGATACTGAATAATTCAAAGGGTCTTAAGGGTTCAGATGGTTGGGGAGTTTAGAATGAGAGAAAGATAACTTACAAGATTGAGAATCTTGACCAACTGTTGTCCATTGCGCTTGAGTGAGATAAGCTCTGAAAGCAGTTGGAAATGGGTATTTAATCGCTCTCTGTAGAAGATCTCCCGCATTGCTCCGTATCTTCTTGAAGCCTTGGATGGTTGTATCGAAAATGGTTCCCTCACCAGTGCCTAACTTGAGCGAAGTAGATAATTTTAGTTGCGAACAGGTAATTGGGCCAGCAATGGCGCTATCCGGGTGTACACCTTGTGCTCTCTCGTCCAATTGGAAATATAATTCCACGAAAAACTAACCATAAATCAGTACTTGTCGTCATCATAGTGTGTTGAGAGAAGATCCTAACCGCTTCGTTGCTGAGGAATTCTAGAGTTGAGATAATATGATCTGCACTACCGAAAACTTTGCAAAGACTGACGAGCCCAGCCATTCCCTCGACAGACCGTTGTTGTTCTTTAGTGGCGCCTGTAGCTATACGGCCAACAGTTGAGGTAAGTGAGATATAAGCATCCAGGGATTCGGACAGGCGAATTTGGTACCTATCAAGAACCGCGATTTGAGTATTGAGGAAAAAACGAAGTTTATGTGAGACTTTTCTGAGGTCTTTGTATTGTGTTGTAATTGCTTTGAGGAGATCAGTGACCTTGGTAGCACCAAAGGTACCTTTAGTCTTCTTCGACTCGTTGCTGTCGTAGTCAATATCTCCATTATCCGGCGATTCCATTATTTCTTCATATCTCTGGAAGGCAAATCTTTCCTCGGCTTCTAGCCAGGGACCGAACCATTTATCTAGAACATGCCAAGTCACGCCAACCCAACCAACTTTAGCATTGCCTCCATCATACTTGTACTTGATTCGGATAGCATCGTCCCAGACCATCAATTGGCCTATAAATTTACTCAAATGCGCGGAATTGTGCTGAATTTCGTTAAGAACAAGATCGGTCTTCTCTTTGACTAATGGTAAGAGTGCTGTGATAAAGGCAGATACAGGATCTATGTAAAGTGAGTTCCCCGCTAAAGAACTGCCTAAGAAGTGTGCAGCCAGGACAGGTCCAGCATTGTCTCGAAGATAAGCCTCATGCGCATCTATAACATCAATGATCCAATTTAGGTAATATTCCCCAAGCTATTTTTGTCAGAGTGATTTCATGAACGGAAGATAGAAACTTACAAGACTGCTCGCACTAGTAGGCGTGGCCCCCATGAAGTGATAGCGAAATTTCAGTTCACTCTCCTTCACTAAAACCGCGAAAGGAAGAAGTACAAGGGGCTCTCGAGCTTCTCTGATTTCTGGAGCTTGCAAGTCTAAGAGTCTTCCAAAACATATTTGCCATTCCTTAGAAACTTCAACAGTGATATCTGGCCATTTCAAGGCTTTGAGTACATCCCGGAATTCTTTGACCATGATTTGAACCATCTGTGCCCATAAATGACTGGAAGTCTGTTCGACATAGGAAACGAGATGAGGGGCAGCAATTTCTGTGGAATTCTGAGTCGCTTGTAAAGTCATCGCAAGTTGTTTTAATCGCACATATGGCTTCAGGGCCTCAGTGGGGTTGTCAGGTAGATTTTGATGAGCTTCCTTGGTCAGATCATCGACATCCTTCAATAGTTCAATATATGCTTGTGCCAATTCGACTTGTTGTAGTTTCTCCATTGGTCCTTTCAAACGTCGCACTGCCTCCTCTGGAGTATCTGAAGATGTAAGTATCATCATCCGCGCTCGTAAGTCCTCTTGCTGTTGCTCAAAAGCTTGAGTCTTTTGAGTCATCGACGAAGTGTGATTTGCGGCGGATTTTTTGGCCTCAGCGAGCTTGGTTTTGGCATCTTTTAACTATGAGAAGTCCGTGTTAGCTAGTATAATGATATCAACATATATACTGCGACTTACTTGCTCTTCCAGCTGTCTTTGCTTTGCTTCTACGTTCTCCAATAAGCTCGACAGATCTGTCATATCTGCGGTGGTTTGGATTTTGTCGTTCAACCAGTCCTCAACTCTGATATTTCTTTCTCCAACTGGTATATCGTCGATAGGATTGCACAAATAAACCCTCGGGCTACGCTCCTGCTCTATGTGGAGCGACATGTTTATTGATCGGGTGGTCCTTTTCGATTGACAGTTGCAATAATTGAAGTTGTCCTTACTAGTGAAGATTAATAAATGTAAGGTAGGGATGGTTATGTAACAATTAAATTTTAGCGTCGTCAAAAAGCACTTCCAGAATTTATATGGACTTCTACGTTCACTCAACCAAACATTAAAAATACATACTTACATTTTGATATGCTATAATAATATCAAAGATGTACTAGATGATAAAAAAATCCGACGCTTTGCCAATTAGAAGCTCCTGAGTATTTCAATTCAATTTTCAATTATAAATTTTGATTACCAGATTTAATAATATCGAATATTGAAAAGTGCGGTTATTTTTGAGGTTTGGTTCCATTTCGCGCATTGTGGAGAGCACCTACCATTTTCCGGGGTCCCTTTTGAAAGACGACGACGTCACCGAAATCTGCGCGGGCTGTATTTATCTTTAATTTTCAACTCTCTTTAGGTTTTACGAGATGTTTCAAACCCAATAATTAACCAAAACTTTCTTTGTGCTTAGCAACAGTTCTTACGATGGCGCGTAGATGATAATACTAAGCATATTCACAACCATTGATTCCACCATTTCAGGTGCAAGTGGCGAAAGGCATATAGATCATGGGGACACCTACGAAGCGGAGGAAGCTCAACAATGATACAAAGTCCAATGGTTCTCGAAATCTCGACTTCTTTTTCGGAAAGCAAAAGAAAGACGAAGAAGTGTTGTCGTCTCGATCAGTCGGTAGTCCAATCCTGAGCAGTCCAGGTAGCGCGGGTCCCTCAGAATTGACCGATGAGCAACTGGCTAGAAAATTACAAGAGGAATGGAACCGGGAATTGATTGGCGCAGGGGAGGTGACTGAGAACCATTCGGTGAAGACCGATGAGAAACTTTCAGAGGCTCCAATCTCCGCGGTAGCTACTAAAAACCACACAGACGAAGAGACCTCAATTGATGGCATTCACGGCCACTCAAATATGGAATCGGCGAAGCCGAATATCAATAAAAATACTCTTTCACTACAATCCGCTGGTACAGCAGAAGATGCCATTTCATCGAACATACCATTAGATGAGAGTCCTTTGACTTTCG